AATAAATGAAAAACTGACTTCCGAAAATAACTTTAACTGCCCAGGAGTAACATCAGTTCATTTTAAAGTAAGGGAAGATCATTGTACAGATTATGGGCCTGACCAAGAGTTACTGTGGATTCTTCCCCCTGGCCATTCGGGTAAGATCCCGGTTCACCTAAGATCCCGCATTTTCCTGGCTCCCGAGCACCGGGACTTTAGGCGGAGACTACTGTACTTCTTTTCTTAAAGTGACTCAAACATTGAATCTTCAATGACCAGAATGCATGTCTTCGAGAAGCTAATGAAGACTGATATATGTAACATTTGTCCCATGTCAGTATGGCAAACTTCATCAATGACTTACTTCTAATTCCCAATAAACAACAGTCCTGGTCTGTACATTGAAAGTTTATATATAAAGATTTCCACCTACAAAGTTCACGAATTCAGACCCCTAACACAAAACCTGACCTAAAACAACCTTCCTTTATCCTGTATTTAAACCCTTTCCCACTCCCCCAAATACCTATCTACTTCAAATCTCATCACAAGCTTCCTTCTGCATTATTCGACATACCAACAGTCCATTATTTACTCCTCCGCAGTCCAACACAACAAGATCTTCCACACCAGCTTCTCCCTCCCGTCCCTACCACACACAACACCTTACATATACTGCAGCCAAGGAAAGATGCGAGACCTGCTGACAAAATGAGTTATTTCTTGCAATCCACAAATGAGTATATTCGCTAAAATTCAACACTAGGGTCAAATTTGTAGATTTCTATTAATGTCATATTCGTTAAATATAACATGTCTTTTATTATTTCATACTTATAAATTGTAAAAACTTCACCTATAAGCGTGATGTAGCAATTTCTATTGGGCTCGAATCCGAATAGTAACTCATTTCGTCAGCACCCTTCACAAATGTCAAAGACCTCCTCCTTTTTTAACATTGAGTCAAAGGGCACGAACTCAAAGGCTACTGGATTAGCAAGAAGAATCCACTGTACCTGGGTAAAACACCTCACAGAACTTGATCATCTCCATCAGCCCCAGTCGGATGACAGCAGCCTTCGTGTTGTCCTTGAAGCCGAGACCGTCTGTAAAACCGGCTGCTGTCGCAACGATGTTCTGATGGGAGTAAAAATAGCTCAGTATGCATGGCATTGGTTCATCTACTTCCTCTTTGTCACATGCCAAGGCAAAAACCACATCATGCATACTGTTTTAAAATTGTCTGCCAAGGCGCACAAGACCATACACAGGCCTTTATCTGTCCCAATCGGAAAAATTTTGAAATTATGAAAACTAAGCCCAAAAATGTGAAATTATGCGATTCTGTTAATTTTAACAGAGAATGATAAAGGAAAATTATAAGAAATTATGCAAAAAATTATCGAATTTTGCTAAATTATGCGGGGCGCATAAAACCACAGGCACAGCTATATGGCAAGGGTTCAATACCGCTTTGAGAAGCAGTGATATGAAAGCAAAGGGTTTAACATTTTTTTAAAAAAAGAAGGTATTTTTAGAGCCCCATCGACAAAACTTAGAACAAATAGGCCACAGGCTTTGATCATGGAGTAAAGGGTAAATTTTATCTCAGTTCGAGAAAAGTCAGAAACATCCCGGTCACATTGTAAATGTTTCACACACCCACTGACACAACTTAGATAATTAATTTAAGCGACAAGTAACTTCAATTTTTGCTAGTCAGCGTCAAACTGGGTTGAGAAGGATACAACAGTCTCTAACCCACAGATGGTGCACGTCAACCACCCACTTATGTGAGTCTTGTAGGGAATAAAACTTTATAAAATTGATTACCCATGGAACTAAGACAAACAAAAACACATGATAGCTTCAAGGTACATCTTAAGCATTTTCTGTTCCTACAGGAAATGCGCTATATAAATGTTATATACAGTCAAACCTGTGTAAGACGGCCACCCATTGTCAAGGAGAAAAGTGGCCGGATAAGACAGGTGGCCGTCTTAGGCAGGACTGATCAAGATGAAGAAAACAAACCATTCCCATCTGAAGTCCCAATCGAAAGTTGCTGCACTGTTTCTTGTTTTTGTTGTTGTTGGTTTGTATTTTGTTTGTTATTTTTATTTCGTTGCTGATTTTGCGCAAGAGTGACAATAAAACAAAATGTATCAGACGAGGAAGACCGAGTACCATGTTAAAACAAACACATGGGTCGCCACCACTCGGAGAACGAGTGACGTGTTCATGTAGTTGACGTCCATTGTTTCTTTGTTACAGACTGGGTAAACTGTGACCACCCATCTCACTTATGATTTGTGTATGAGTTCTGGGCGGCGCGGGGCTTATGGGTTATGAGGGGTCACATGCTTACCTCACCAGCAGCTGAAAATTGGTACCTATTGGTCAACAGCGGGAGGGGCCTAACCAACATGATCAGTTGGAGGGACTACCTAACAACAACGACAGGTGATTGAATTATGACAGCTCACCCACAACGCCAGGGGCCAGTGCACAATTTATGACAAAACGTAATGGAGTCACTAAGGTGGCCATCTAAGACAGATGTTATTGCTTAGTGTGATAGGGGTTGTGTGTTAAAATATGGTGGCCGCGGCCGCGTTGGACAGGTGCCCGTTTTACACAGTTAAATTATATAGAAAAAACGCAAAGGGGGAAATGGAAAGTGGCCGTTTGTACAGGTGGCCGTCAGGGCAGGTTCGACTGTATTATCATTATTATTATTATTACAAAAGATTTTCATGAAATCTACACTATAAACATACCTTCAGGGCTCCGCAGACCTCAACCGTTGTCTCGTCTTTGACGACGACGATGCGGAAATAGGCCGTCTGAAAGAGGGCCTTCAACTCAGTTCCCAAGACAGCAGTGTCCGAGCACCCTGAACAATCATTTGTTTGTTTGATTAATAAGTTTAGTTTTAAAACGAGTTTTACGGCACTCGCAACCCAAACAGGTCATGCAAGTGTTGAGGATGAAAGGTGTAACTAGAGAGAGCCATACTATGAAAAGAAGGAGGAGAGATAAGGAGGATAGATGTTAAAGGAAAGAAGGAGCAAACCCCACCAGAGCACCCGTAAACCTCCCACAATTGTTTGTTTGTTTGAGAAAGAAGATAATACCTGTCACTTAACGTGCATAGAAAGAGTATGACTGACAAACAGAAATGAAAGAGGGACAGAAAAGAAGATGGACCTGCCCGTGGCACTCTCCAACCTTTTGCATCCTGAGCGATCAAGACAAAAAGCCAGGCAAATACTTTACAAGCACACTGCTGTTCTATTGTGACAGTACCTCCAAGGACAGTACAGATTTTTTAAAAGTGACAACACGCTCACGACAACAGCAAAAACAACCTGTCAAACACACAAGTGAGAAAAAAGTTGCATGTATACCAGTCTCCCCCCCCCCACCCAAAAAAAAATTCAGATGCTACCGAAGAAAAATCATCCTCCAAAATAAATTGATTTTAAAACCAGAACCTTTTCAGACGCATTGAAAATACAAAACAACTGTTGTTCTAACATGAAAGAGAAGAACATTGTTTTAGTAAGATTTTTACGGCACTTGCATCACAGTTAGGTCATATAAGTGCCGAAGATTAGAGGTGTTACAAGAGAGTAACAAACACAAAAAAAAGAAGCAGGAGAGATATGGACAATAGATGTTTGATAGGAAAGAAGGAACAAACCACACTACAGCACCCGCCAACCACCTACAAAGAAGAACAGAAACACATGGATCCACGCTGAGGCATTACATGTTGCTGCACGTTTCTTTAAAAAAATCCTGAAACTGGAACTAGCACAAAGTGTTGGTAGATAGGGGTTTCACAGGAGAGGCGACCCACATCTTCCAAGCCAGCTCCCGGTTTCTTCACTAGTGGGTCTAACTGATAATCACCACCAAAAACCTTCTTTTTCTCATTGCTTAAGGTTTGATAGCCACACAGAGCCCCCTCGAAGCAGCGTAAGAGGTTCAGTACAGCAGCAGCAGGTCTCAGAAGTTTTGTTGTGGGCCGAAAAGTGAAAAGAAATGATTTTTTTGGTGAATTAAACATTCCGGCAGGAACTGTTCTGTAGCTGATTGACTCATAGAAAGCTGAAAGCAACAATGGTGACTTCCACTCCGGTTATGGTTATATTTTACAGGGCCTGCACAGGAAGAAAATCTAAAAACTGAAAGTGTAACAAATCTTTCCTTTTCTTTTTTTGGTTTACATTATTGCTATATATATAGGCCTAATGTCCAGCACTGGAAATTCATCTCAGTGTTTACATTGGTCAGGTCTTGTAAGGATTCTCGTTGATAGCACTACGTTAAGGGTATTTTAAATTATCTTCATTGGGAACAAGTTCCGTCTATTAGAAGAAAAGCACATCCATCCACTGTCGAAACTGGTGACCGATTTGAAAAAAGAAAACTGGAAGATAAACAAACTATAAAAAAAGGAGAGAAAAAAGGAGCCTAGAGGTTAAGGTGTTGGCCTCTCATTCAAAGGTCCCGGGTTCGATTCCGGGTAGCGACCAAAAAATTTTCTTCTCTAAAAATGTCTCCTTTCACATCCTTTCCTGATCTCTAACAA